TTATTATTATTATTTTCACCCAATTTTTTAACCATTAAACTTTCAAGTACTTTCAATATATTCCTCATAAAGTATCCTCAAAGAAAAGATGTTGAAATGGTCATCAAATGTCAAATAAATAGCTTTTTCATAGGGGAGTCCTTGGGTGGTAAAATACAAATCTTTAATTTTTTTTATTTTTTCATGAAAATTTTCACCTGCAAACTAACAAAAAGTGCCAATGTGTCCTCCATTATGCATACTACATTACCATAGTCATTTACTCAAATTAAATTAGATTTTTGAATGTTTTTTGGGGGGAGTCAGATTACATGGTACACCGGGCCTCTGAGGCCCGGTTTCAGGGTTTACGTAGGGTTCCATTTCCTTGTGGATGAGGGTTAATTGCTTGACTACTACCCACCTTCCCACTACCCATCACACTGAAAATATTCATAAAATATCTGTTCATCTGTTTACGCCACCTTCACCTGCAGGATAGGTAGTTATACTTTGATTAGATATTTAATAAAACTTTATGTATTTGTACCCAATGAAAAAGGGATGTTATAAAATAATTTGTTTAATGGAGGTGCATTATCAACTAAAAATATTAATAAAATGGATGAATTGTTTTGAACTTTACACTCTTTACTCAATATTGCATTATGTAATGCCAGATTAAGAACGTACAGCATTGTCCAGGGGGGAATTGTCCTATAATGATTTGAACTGTGTATTTTAATTGTACAAAAAACATTTAACAAAAAACATTTCCACTTACTCCTTCCCATCAAGATGACAAAGACATTTAATAATAAAATTGATCTTTTAGATGATTATTATATAAGGTAGCATTATTTATGGTAATGAATCAATCTTTTTAATGGGGAAAATTGTGAATTTTACAGATATTGTACTCTTTTAAAATCTAAAAATTCTTAAAATTTAAACATTAATCTAAGTACTACAAATGCTCACAGAAATATATTTTTAATGATTCTAAAATGATGTATCCCAAATATTGATGCTTTTTCTCATTGAAACAAAAGGGTCTTTGCCATACCTTGACTTCAACAGTGAACTTAGGAATAGTTGCTCCTTCCACTCTTCCAACAATGACTTCTTTCAGGGGGTCCCACTCATTCCAGGACCACACGGGGCTTTCAGGCTGAGGTAGATGCTGCGCTTCAAGGTTTTCCCTTTGGGGACTCTCTTGAGAATTAATTGCTACTCTTGGATTACTTGACAGCCTACGGATTCTGCACACCTGAAGACACATGTAAAACAATCAACAGATGAATACTGAAGCATTTAATGTAAACAAAAAGACAAAATTAATAAATGACATGTTCAATGATAAAAGAAATTTCTATAATGTAAAAGTTAATAATAAGATTATTTTTTAGAATATAAATTAAATGCATTGCAATACAATTAATGTGCACTAAATTGTATAAACACACAATATGTAATTATCCACTTGTCTGAATTCCTCTTAGACTGCATTCCCACAGATTTAGATCGATCCATCTGAATCGACCTAACACCCTGGGGGTTCACGCTAAATTGCTTTCAGCCAAGTGCGCACAAAAGTTAATTACCCCCTTACAGCATTTAGTAGGCGGGGCAGACACTTAAGCCAGCTAAGCTGACAATAATCTAATGAGACTCCCCACGGGGATAGATCGATCTAAAATCTGTGGGAATGCAGTCTTAAATTAAACATAATAACAGCATTTTTCTATACAAGAGATAAAACATATATAATGTACAATGACCAAAAAACCCATTTTCCAAATATAATTGGAAATAACTTTTGATCACATCAGTTCAGCTTTATTTAATTCACCTTCTGTCGCCTGAAGTTAACTTTAAGGTTACTGATAAACATAACAGATTAGATAGCACTGGCCTATATTCAACAACTGGCAGACATGCTAAGGATAAATCTTTATCAGTATTAAGGATAACGCCCCATTTGAACATGCAAGCAGCATCAGTACATTGATAATACATCAAACTGTCTGCTCTAAAAGGAAACCTGCACTTTGTTGCTTTTTTACGTCTCATTTTAACTGTTTTAATATATGTGTTACTAGTACTTTTCTGCACCACTGCCTTCATTTGCAATACCGCCAGTCCTCCCCCTTTAGAACCCCAGTTAAGAAGCACCCTAGGTATGCCCCAGTTATTATATGCACTTTACAAAGGTAACTTCATAAGACCTACAAATAGAACTCATACAGCTTCTGAATGGTCAGTGGTTGACCTTAAGATGGCTGAAAGCGGCATTCACAATTTTGTTTACCTAACGGGCCTACAACAAAAGGACAATAATACAGAATAAAGCACTTGTAAACAAAGGACTTAGGTTTCATGAATATGTGAACCACTTCATTCTAGAGTTATTCAGAATTGTTCAAGGATTGAGTGCATGATATAATTTCTGCCATGTGCTCAATGCTAAAGAAGTTAGCTCACACTTAGTGCACCTGAACTATTTTATCTAATTAATAAAAGTGCACAGCTGACTGACATTAAGAAACACCAACAATTAAGAAAATATCACTGAGAAACACTTTCTGCATCCAAACCCCATTGTCTGTGTATTCAAGTCTGCATAATTTATGCAAGTTTGTACTGTAACTTTTTTGCCACATTGTTTTCAATATGAAACAATTTCGATGCAGAAAAATGAAAAACATCTCTTCACTTGCCAGAAAAAGAGTGGCACATTTTTTAATCAATCCACTCATTTATTAATATGTGTTGTCAGTTTATTTGACTGGCTGTAAGTTATAACGTAGATTTTCTAATAGTATGAGTATATAAGAATTATAACTGAAATCAAAAGTCGGAAAAGTTCCAATTCACATTTACTGAATGAGAATTATTTCCACGTAAAAGACTAAATATATAAATATAACAATCAATAAATGTTTAGTTAATGATTTCATTCTTTCGTTTTATCAATCGGTGTTTGAAAGCAAGAAGAATGGTGCACATGCATTCAATCAAATGATAAGCTCATATCCTGCACACCATACTTCTATGTGCACACACAATATTTAACTCTACTAATATAGTACGTACTGTACTCCCACACACATAAAAGAAATAGTTATAGACTAACTCTTTTAAAAGCATTGATAATTATTCATCACTAACCGCTGGCATCAAATGCGCAGCTTCTCTTCCTCTACACCCTCCCAAAAATGTCCTGATGCACAACATCGTAGCACGTCTGAAGTTTTAACTCGAACTTCATAGAATGCCGCGGCACTTAGCAAGCACGTTAATAAATAGTAAAATATAGGAGAAACGAAAGTCAATTTCAAGTAAGTGCAACGCAGAACACTTTTACTCATCATCTTAAAGCCCCATAAAAAGCATCATTGTTTTTGGTCGATTTTACATATATCACTAATCTTATCAATTAGTCCATAATCACAGATTTGTTTAATAAAAAGAACTTCAAATTTAACATTCCGTTTACAAATCCCTGACGAACCTCATTTAGTTAGTGAATGACTTCGCGGCAATCACGTGCAACGCGCACTGGGTAAACGCGACGATTGGCATGCAGCATTAATCTTACCAAGGCCGCTTCATTGATAAACCTGAACCAATCGAATGCATGCCGCCTTCTGCTTGAACTTTATGTTTAAAAACGCAGCAGAAAGCGTTCCTATCCATTTTGTTTCTTTGGGGAAAAAGGACAAATTGAAACTGATTTTAAATTTTTCACTGGGTTTTAATAGACATTTGTCTGAAAACCTAAGTACCGTAAGATTGTTTTTGATACAGCTCAGTGAATGGCGTCTGGACCTCTAGCTTGGGGAATGGGGGCTCACAAATGTTATTTTTTTATGTTTCAGTTCAATAGTAGACACATATTAAGTCGTGTACAGTAAAATATTGTAAAGTAACGTATATAGCGGTCTGTCTAATTAACGACCACAAACGGCCACAAACGACCACAAATGGCCACAAATGTCTACAAGCATAAATCAGCAAATATGTATATGTTTGACACAAGACGATATTTTAAGTTTGAAAACAGCAAAGGTCTACAGTGCCCTAATTTGTAAGTTTACTAACGATAACAAAGAGAATGGTTGTGTCCATAAACGCCGACGAGCGACCATAAGCGTCCACAGACAGAATAGTAGGAAGACCAACAGTTTAACATAAAATGGTTATGAAATTGACTAATAAATAAATATTAAGCCTTTAAAAACTCGCAGTGACTGAAAGACTACAGAAATAAACGGAATAAAGCGGACTAAAAAATTTTCAATTCGGACAAGATGAAACTGATATTATTTTTACTTAGACCTGTGTTTTATACCTTAAATGTCAACATATTTCTCAAATTTGTATTTTGAACTTGAAATAGAGGGCCTAATTATTTTACACCCCTTTCGAAAATAATTTCGAACGAAAGATAAATACATCTGTGACGTACAAATTTGAGAAAGTAAATATTTTAACCGGATACATGAAGGGCTGCTACATGTACGCACTATAGGCAAATTTTTCTTCTAATAAAGTTTAAAATACAAAACACTATACTATAAATGTACGTGAAAAAACATCTCAATAATGATGAAAGTAGATTTCTGATGCATTAAAAGTAACAAATTTTGCTGAGACGTGGGATTTGGACATGTTAAAAGAATGCAATAATTTCTTCATTTCATATGAAGTGAATTATTTTTCTAACATAGAACTATATTTGTATTCATTAATTTGAAATGCGTAAAGAGGGAGGGGGCATTCAGAAAAAAAATAAAGACAGCGATGGGGAGGGGGCGCGACAACGGCAAAAATCACGTAGGGAACTGGACATCGGTTGAGTGAGTCTCAATTAAGCAGCAGCGCATATTCATGCATACATAATTAGCTTAATTTCATTTGTCGGTGGCACAGCTTAATGTTAGAACAGTAAGAACAACAACAACAAATAATAATAATAATAATAATAATAATAATAATAATAATAATAATAATCGGGCCTTTCCACAAAAATGTGACCATGTGAGTCACGTCTAGGACGCACTCATTTTGTGAAATATTTGCAAAATTCCGACTCGCGCCACTATTTTCACTGTCTTTTGCTATAGCGCATTCCAATAGGGAAATAAAAAATAATAATAAAGAAATTTTATAAAACAGTTATACAAATTTATGCAACATTTAAATGTGCGCGTCAATGACGTAACTCAGATTTTCACTTTTGTGTGCGCGCGCGCGCGCGCGTGTGTGTGTGTGTGTGTGTGTGTGTGTGGAATTAGACCCAGTCAAGGGTTTCCTTTAAATTCAATACTCCCAGATCTAGAGTTACAGAATGTGATTTTATTTTGCCTACAAAATCGGTTTCTAGACGTATGGTAGCCTACTCAAATCATTTTCAGTTTTAGGGATTGAAAGACAGAGAGTGAATAAACGTGAATTTGTCCCAGACCCAGCAACCTAGAGGGATGGAAAAGTTCAGTGTATGCATGCACTGTCATCCCACAGATTGCAGCTCCTACATCATTACGGGAGAGGGAGAGAAAACTCCCATACCTGATGTATGCTGAGTACACCTAGGTGTATGTAGGATGGCAAGTTTCACACAATCCATGCATCTTTTATCAAGAATTACTTACTCTCAGTGTAAAATTTGGGACGAAGAAAACCAAGATATGTAAGTAAATATTATTTTGGGTGCACTATGTGTAAAAGACACAAGATATCAGGACGCACCTACTCAAAATAAATAAATACTCTTGGCTCCCCCTCCCCCGTTCAATGTATACCTCGCTTTCGCTTTCGCCTTTCAAAACTCTTCTTAATATGGAGGTCAAGAATCTTACTTCCGCCGAAAACGTGATTATTTTCAGAGCAAAGAAAAACGTTTTATTTCATCCTGGTAATTCGATATAGCAGCATAAGCGCTGTTTAAAATAAATGTCATTTTAGAAGTTATGGGCTCTTGAACTTGAGATGCTTTGTGACGATAACGATTTAGCAAAATGACAACAAGAAGAAGAAAGGCTGGGGAACCAACAGCTCAGAAAAGGTATTATTTATTTTCTTTGTGATTCCTAACGTGTTTCAGACGTTCATACTATGTTTCCTTTTGCAAACTGCAATAATGTCATTAACTGTCTTTAGATACCTCAATGTTTGAATTCTTATATCATTTTGTTATCTAGACTACAGGGGTAATCTAAGCCTACATGTATTTCTGTTCGTTCACAGAGTTTTTTCTTGTATACATGTAATACATACACAACGCACAATACACAAATCGTGCGAATATACACAAATTATATTCACAAGCATTTCATGAATCGAGTTACTGGTAAATAATGTCCCTTAAATTCAAATAAGGGATTAGCATACATTTAGATCAAATACACAAAGTTTTGCTCAGCACTTGCATAACTAGACTAGAGATACAGGTACAGTACCTGTTCATGCATGTACATGTAGTTTTTGAATTAATATAAAATTTGTCCAGGGCACTGTTGGTAGTATTCTTATAAATATGTATCATGTGACCACTGTGCTTACTTTAAGTGTCCACGCGTAGTGAAATAAAGTCAGTGTGTATGCTAGTGACCTTCCAGTGCATTAGTATTCTGAGTAACAACAACAATATGACAAACACCTTGCACATTTCCACTTTTTCTTTAGAGAAGCACATGTTCAGGAGGAAGGAGGAGACCGCCCTTATACAAGGGTTCTTCTGCAGGGTGCACTTGTTATTTGCTCATTACTAGTCATAAGGACTTTTGTTGATTTTGAGGAAAAAGAATATGGTCAGCTTGCCACAATAAATGAGGACATCCCTCATAGGTTCATTGAAGTTGGATGCTCATCAGATTATGACAAGGAAAAGGTAATGTTCAAAGGTAAGTGCTGTGATTGAATAACTTGCATTTTGGAAGCAGACTTGTTTATTTGTTGGTGCAATGTAGCATATTTGACAACATATAAGTTGTTTCATGTCACTAATCCTATCTATAATCAAGTGTGCCTCTGCAAATTAAAGAATAGAAAAAGGTAACCTGACTGAATATGATGTATAGATTAGATTAGATTAGATTAGATTAGATTAGATTAGTGTTGATTTCCAATCCAGGTTCCTACTGGTCCTCTTTATCGGACTCTTCCTCCAAAACTAACTTTTGACTTCCGATGATGTTAATTTCGGACCTGAATATAATACTTGAATATGATACAATTCAGTTAAATTGCAACTAACCAAATTTTATATTATTTGACAATGTTTCATTGTATGCAAAAATAAGGAAATTATTGCAAACAAATTTGTTGCAAAAGAAATACATGCACAACATTAACAAATTTTCTTGGTGCCTGTGTTCATGTTCTCTGGCTTCCCAACAGTTTTCAAACAACCTCTTTCCCAACCTCCAAATAACACTGTAAGGCTTCATTCACATGGAAAGTCTATTTTCTAAATTCTATTTTCTATTCGCGGTATGTCTTGTGATCACGCTCTGTGCCCTGAATATCCCGCGGCGTAATTACTGGCAACGATTTTGTGCAACAACAAGACAAAGAAGATGAAGAAGCTATACACACGACAGATACGAGTGCAACCATCATGATCCGATGGCAAGCGTATCAGAATCTCCTCCGAGCACAGCCGAGAATTAATTACAGCTTTATTTAAGTAACTGGCTCGCGCTGCCAGTAATTACGCCGCGGGATATTCAGGGCACAGACCATGATCACAAGACATACCGCGAATAGAAAATAGAATTTAGAAAATAGACTTTCCATGTGAATGAAGCCTTAATTAATTTTTTTTGTACCATTTTTATTTATTTATTTTTTTTATTTTTTATTAATTTATTTATTATTATTATTATTTTTTTTTTTTTTTTGCTCTGGGTATTTAAGGTCTCTTCCATATGAAAAGAAAATGGAAATAAAAAGCATGGTGTGTGTTTTGGCATTTTTTAGGTTGTATTCCATCTATATGTGGAAGGGTCATAATGGACCACATAGTGACACGTGAGGAAGCAGCAAAATTACTAGAGTAGGTACATTTAACATGCCAAAATACGTTTGTCTGGTGATAATGAAAAGCAGCAGTTTTTTCAGCAAAGATTTAACATATTTTCAAGAGTAATTCAAGTGAGTTAAGTAATAACTGTAACAGGGTTGCAAAAACAAAAAATGTCATCAAAAATATTTCTTATAAGTCATCATATTTCTCAATTTTTTGTTTTGAACAAATCATTTCAAACAATTTTTGTTGTCCTGTTTGAAAATAATTTTGCATGAATTTTTTTATTTGGTAGTTATCAGTAGAATGCTTTTCTGAGACTTGTCTATATTGGCAACGAAAATATTTTGGTAGGAAATGTCATATGCACAGTACCTTCATAATCAACCAATTAGTTTAATCATTTTCTTAAGAATATCCACCATTCAAATCATTCTGTTAGACTTAGTGTGTTGCACCTGCTTTAATCCCTTGTCTTTATTTGCAGTGTTGCCAAGAAAGGTCTTTCACTAGGAGGTTCCAATGGTGGAGTAAGTTCCACATAAATTATATTGTGTCTTCACTTGCTGTGGGACATATGCTTTATTAGAAATCATACCTAATCATCTTTTCATGAGTCACCTGGGTCAGCAGATATCAATAATAACAGAAACAGCTCGAAATCGAAAAACAAAACTTTTGAAAAATTTGAATGTTGCAAAATCTTTGATGCAACATTTTTCCAATGGAAACAGTGCTGTATTGATTTTACTTGAAAAAAAACACTGCACATGGCTGAGACACAAAAAATTCTTAGTTCATGCTTAATTTGACTCAAGTTCTAGTAGTTATCTAGACTACTTGTGGTCATCACATGTTGACAAGTTCAGAGGCATGATTTGCTTTGATGAAGTGTCATAAGCCTAGGCTAGTAAGGTTTGGATTTCACTTGCTCAGCTAGAAAAGTACATGGTGTAAGTTGGTACAAGTGTATTTGGAATACTGGTAAAATATTACTGGTACATAACAGGAATACAGCATTGTTATACTATTGAAATTGCCAGATGTGTTTGTATTGGATCATTGCATGTAGTGCGTCTTACTCAGATGACATCTTTTCTCCTTGAATTTTTTTCTTTACTTCTTATAACTCAGCAGGTGTGCCTCACTATTTCAAATGAAGTAAATAAAAATGAGAGTGGTAGAAACTTTTAAAGGTGAATGCAAAATTCACCAAGGGGTGAAAATACTGTGAAGTTGCCCATTGTAAAGTGGTCTATGTTGTGTCTATTTTTTTTTTTTTTCAGGCTTCCATTCTTGATCTTCATTCAGGTGCTCTTTCAAAAGGAGACAAATTTGTGGATATTTTCAGGTATTTTTGCAATTATCAAAGAGTGGATGCTTTTTTTAAAGTATCTTTAGCTGCTTTGAAGTTGTGAGTTATAAACAGATATTGTATTTACCATAATACTATAACCCATCAGATATGTTCAGATATAATCAATTTAGTTTAGACTATGTAAAAAGTATAGATAATAATACCTGCAACAACCCTGACCTCTGTATGAAAGTAGATTACTAATTAAAAGATATCCATTGTGTTGAATTAAAGCATATTTCACATTTGAGATATTGGCTGAAATATGTTGTGTAATTTTTCTTAGTTTACAGAAAACTAAAAGCATCAACATATTTACTGAGGATGATTTCAAATTGTATACGTAAGTTTGACCACATTCATTTCTTTTTTTACAATATGTGAACTTTGTGTTGTGATAGTAGTTATATCTATACAGAAGGTTAATCTTTGAATAAAAATAGAATTTATATATAGCTAAATAAATTAAATGTGAAAATTATAGTAATATATGAAATAATGTTTTATTTGTAATAGACAAATCGGAAGTTTTAACTTTTAAAAAAGAGGTTAGTCAACTTATTGCCAGAAAGCAAGGTTTTGCAAAAAAAACAAAAAAATAATAATTTGTTTGAAATTTGAGAGCAATTACCATAACACAAATTTATCCTTCCTTTCAGGCGAGTGAAGGATCGTATCCAACACACTATAACAGCCGAGTTTGGCATCCCTAGAGAAAAACTGTTCCTCACAAATCCAACATTTTTTTCCCAGATGACAACAAAACCAGCCCAGACTGTTCATGATGAGTATTGGCATCCACATGTTGATAAGGTACAAATTAAAATTATTGTGTACTACATTCATGGTCTGTTTGTGCACTAAACATTACATGCTGAAGAAAAGCAGGCTATTTTCAGTTTTTAATGGGTTGTAATTTATTTCAACACTAAATGTCAATGAGTTCTGCAATGACTGGACCACTTGTTCTCTATCAATTCCCAAATGGAAAAAAATGCATTTATTAAGAAATTTATAGTAACTGTGCTGCCAAAGTACAAATACATATTGGTATTCTACTTATTATGAACCTCCAAGTAAAATTATGTTTTAGAACATTCTCTAATTTAAAGGTTAAATTTGTCATTTCAGGAGACGTATGGATCTTTTCATTACACCTCTTTGCTCTATCTCTCAGAGTATGGCACAGACTTCAAAGGAGGGAGATTTGTGTTTGTAGACAAGGATATTAACAAGACAGTGGATCCAAAGCGTGGTACGTTCTTTAAACATGTAAATGTAGCATGAAAAAGGAGTCATATGAATGAATTATATCATAACAGTGATGCCTTAAGTCAGATGCTATGCATTTTTCCACAGATAATGATGCACATGCACCTTAAAACCATTTCTGCTGGTCATGGATTCGTGCCTTTTCCTGGTGATGCACATGTGGGGTTAGCTCATTTTGGCTGGTCATGTGTGACTGTGCATGCATGTCATTATCTGCGTGTATCTGTGAATTATCTGTGAATTAAGAGTTTGCACACTTATAAACAATGTGCAATACACTGACTTTTTATAATTACTGAAATTATTATTCCAGGCCGTCTCTCTTTCTTCACTTCTGGTTCTGAAAATCTTCATTATGTGGAAAAATTGACCAGTGGTACAAGATACGCCATCACTGTCTCTTTCACATGTAATCCACAGCGAGCTATTGATGATCCAACATTGAGGTGAAGTTTGGTTAGGAGTTCAGAGATGAGACATATCTACTTGTTTACAAAATTGTCTATTTGAGGACAGCTTTAAAGCTCAGTTTTTTCCCCTACAGTTGTACCTAGGTTTTGATTTTTTTTTTTAAATCTTACCACTTTTATCTCCAGGGCAATAGCAGTAGTATTGTGCAACAGATATAAAAGCAGCAGGATCTTAAAACATTTTATTTATGGGGATGTTGATGCAAAAAAATTTCTGGATGGCTTCACCTGTTTTCTAATAGTGTCTGACTTTATCTAATATATACTGCAAATTTTTCACTTTGAGTAAATGTGCCATGTGTGAGCCATTACATCATTTGTTAAGAAAGGATGCAGTCTCTGATGCAAGTTAAGTTTATTCACAAAGACAAGGAGAATATTAGAGCCAATAAAATTTACATATGTGATCTCTTTACAATCTCAATGGTTGTATTGCTCTCTTGTTAACACTGACATATCTGTGCTAAGGTAGGCACTTTCAAAACAAGTAGAGGTACTAGTACTTCTGTTGCATAAAATAAAATGTTAACATTTGCATTGTGTGGTGCTGTTAAAAGGACAACTTTTTCACCCCTAAGTGTGCAAGGGTATGAAAGGGTAATGTCACTTTCTGGTCATTTTCAGTCATTTTTGTGCATGTTGATCATTAATCATTAACAACAAGGGATGCAGGTATTATCAGCCGGGTTTTGACATCACTGTTGCAAGTGTTGATCTCCCCATTACCACGGCAGAGAGTGCCAAACACAAGTGACATCTCTGCATTAATAGGTATTAACAGTGGCAGAGATCTATACCCTGCATCTCTCAATTACCCCTGATGAGATCAAAGTGCACAGAAAATGAAAATTATCCATTTTTTTCTTACTTTTGTGATACGTGTCTATCATTGTGAATCGTGCTAAAAAGATCCATGTTTTCTTTCTTCATAAAACGTGGAACTCCTTCAGCTTGTGCATAATAGTAGAGTTAGTAGTCACTTTGTGCATAGTATTCACAACCAGATGCTATGCACAGGTTTCATGAAATGAGAAAGAAGAGTTTCAGGAATTTGTTGGTATGTCTTGATAATGATAGGAAATTCTTAGTGACGTTACTTTTGTATCCCCATTTATATGCATTTTCGTTGTATTTTCTGTCCCAGGAAGTGTATGAAATAAATTTTGATCATTTTGAATGTCCAGGGTTACCTTTGTCTTTATATTTCTATTTGAAATACAGGTGGTACATGTAGTGTGTTATGGCAATGGTTTGCAAATAATTTATATGATTAATTCTAAAGATGTGGTTATTGGTGTTCAAGCCTATAAAAATTGACTCTCAAGTCAAAAGAGGATAAGTTAATTATTGCTTAAATTTTTTGTTTGTTACAACAGTTGCATATCTCCATATGGTTTCCACGAAGCAGATTTTCGATTTGAATGTGCTAGTTGAGACACACACAATCACAAAGCTTGGTCGCAGTCAATTTCATACCAGTGAAGACAGAACCAATTAACTAATATGATAACAGCAAGGTTTATTATCCACGTTTATTTTCACGTTGTATTCAGGGAGTAGGGCTATTGAAAATGCAAATAACAGACTGATGCCTTACGTCGAAAACTGAACGTGCATTTTTGTCACACTGTCAATTATAATACGTTTCTATTTTCTTGTCTTTGGCATCTCTTCTAACGTCACCCGGTGTAGTCCAAAGATCTTGAGAAAAACGTGCAGACGATATATATTGAATTTCCAGAGCTATTCTGTTATGTTTATGAATATTTTCTAGAATGTCCTGGGGCAAAGGTCCAATCGATGCCCATTCTAATGTCTGAAAACTTAGCAGCTTTTTGCTGCTGAATCTATAGCTAATCGTAAATCTATACTGGCTTCTTATAAGCTGTTAAAGCGTTTCCCCTTTAACCCCTGGGTTTGTTCAGTAAATACGGTGAAACCTCAATAAACGTGCAATATTTGTACAGCTATAACCGCGGACACATCCTAGCGTAAGCTGAAGAGCGAAAATAAAAACAAAAGCCAAAGAATTCCGATAGTTCTATTGAAGTTTGCTCTTCGATTGGTATTGTTTGTGCAGTAAGGATAGCTTGTGACTTTCCCGCTAACCATCGCCACAGATCGCCCTCCGTGGTTTCACAAGGGCCTTTAAAGCTGTAGACAAACATAACCGAAGTGGCCTGTCACTTTTCAACTGGTGTAGCACAGTAACAGAAGAATATTACAACACCGGTAAGTAACTTTGAAAATTGTCAGCAAATTTGCTTGATTTTTCTATTTAGCTTACAGCCAAAATATTGCTTTCACGTATATACAGTGTGCTTTACCCTATTTTACGCTCTCCGTGTATCTAAAGTTAGTTTCTGAGCCATATAAAGTAGCGGGTTCTTGTTAGCATTAGTGCCATTGACGGTGCACCTCATTAAAACGACATCGATCTTCACGGGGACGTTCATTTTATATGTTGTAACAGACTCCTTTTAAAAACGTATTGTCTAGCATTTTGTAGTAAACTGAATACCTAAAATTATTTACCGTGTTTGCATTCGACCTTGCCATTCATAATACGGCTTTATAGCTTTTAAATTTGACCTGTTTATAAAACTTATTTATAATAAAAAATTGGGTGTGTTTTTTGGCTAAAACTGAATACCTAAAATTATTTACCATGTTTGCTTTCGACCTTGCCATTCAAAATACGGCTTTATAGCTTTTAAATTTGACCTGTTTATAAAACGTATTTACAATAAAAAAATTAGGCGTTTTTTTTTTTTTTTTTTTTTTTTTTTTTTTTTTTTTTTTTTTTTTTTTTTTAAAAAAAAAAAAATTTTTTTCATTTTTTTTTTTAAATTTTTTATTCCAAGGCCTTTTTTAAAAAAAAAAATTTTTTTTTTTTTTTTTTTATATAAAAAAAAATAAAAATTTT